TATGTATATAATGTTGTTTCAGATCTAACTTTAATAAAAAAATGAATCCTTCAATTATTAAGAAAGGATCCTAAAACTGGAAATTATTTCAAATGTGTAATTTAGTGCAAAATGCGCGAATGTTTGGCAGAAGTCAAAAATTTCTAAAGAATTTGATAATAGCAATTATTTCTGGGACGGATATAATAGTTGTGGCTCGCCTTACAGAAATATTTTATGTGATCATCAAATTCAGTATGTATTTTCATTTCATTATTTTTCACAATTTTTTTTCGAATTTCCGACTATTATATTGATTAGTACTAGCAATAAAATTTTTCTAATTGGTTATTTTTTGTTTAATTATACTAATAAAAACCTTTTATTATACTGTCGTATTTCTCTAGCTCAAAAAATATCCACTTGTTGATCCAAATCTTATTCATCATTAATTACTTCCATTATATTAATTTGACAAAATAATTTCCAGAAAATCGTCTTATAATGGCTATATTGGAGTCGAATGATATTTTTGTCGTATTAACAAGAACATTTCAAAAGTATCTTCAACAACGATTCACTGCGTCTGAGCAGGCTATCCTAGAAATTTGCCTGTTTACGGTGGCATCATTAAGGAACCTAATAAGGCTAAGTAACTACGTTTGCAGTCTTTCGTTAAATGTTTGGAATTTCCTCTTTATTTGAATAGTGCCGAAATGGTATATAAGTTGTAGTTTTTTTTAATCAAGAGAATGATTTTTTCCAGTTCTGTCTTTAATAAGAGAAAGATTGTGATAAAATACTGGTATTGTCGGGGTTTAGAACGTAATAAAGAACGTCTGCTAGCTATTGGCGCATTGGAAATGTTTAATTCAGCTATTTCATTTATTAGTAACGACGAGGAGTATCTGGATGATAATTCACCACTGCAACCATCTGTTATGAATCTTAAGGTTATATTTATAAAAGCGAGCATGATGCAGCCTTTGTTTTTAAAGAATTCATATTTATCTGAGAATTTTTTAGATTTTAATGGATTAATATTTCCAAATATCTTTAAATTTTTGAAACATTCTGAGATTTAACTAATCTTACTAAGTTTATTGATTAGTGTAATAACTAATTCTACCTAGATTTATTGATTCTTTGATAAAAATAATATTCTTAAAATTAAATCTGTGATCTTATTTTTTTTGAAATTTTTATTCGATTATTGTTGTTGAAGAGTTTATACAGATTTCAATCAAATTTTTGATATTTTCTTTTTGATAGAGAGACCATTTATGGTAAATCTAAGATTTTCCGTGTACACTTTCATATTATTTTATGATATTACTTATTATTTAACTTATGTCAGCAACTTATTTCTTTTACTGAATACTTTATCATGAGAAGTTAACTCATGATGCTTTAACCAATAATTCAACCATATGAATTGATTTGATACTTGATACCGAACTTCTTTAGGAAACTTGTGCAAAGCTTTCTGCAAGTGATTATATCATCCTTAAATTCTATCAACGATAGAATTGATAATAATGATGTGAGAGTGAGAAACTCAAGTTGTGATTTGAAATTAAACTTGATTTGTGCAACTTCAATTTTCACTTTCTCTTGAGCTGGTCTCTGTGCTGAATATTCTGTTCAGCATTTTAGTTTCTAAATCTTATTAATATTATCCAGTCATTTTGCACAGCACGTTTTTGATCTTTGCAGAGCTGCAGAGGTACATAATGTCTCACTTTGAAGTATAAAATTCTTCAAAATAATAAAATGGTAACATTTTTAATCGGGTAGAGATGAACATCATCATTTTATTAGAAATTCATAAATGTACATTCAAGTTAAATTCTTCTGCAAGTTAAGACTCGTGCTTAATTACTGATTTAATTTTTTAACCTATCATTCTAATATTTGTCTATTCTGTTTTAATTTTTAGCTAATTAATTATCTTTATCATGAACTTGTGCGTTGTGAGAAGATAAATCATTCTGCAGTCAAGCAGCTGGATCATTAGATCTGAAGTCGTTGATTGTTTGAAAAATTTTCAAGATTTTTAGAATTGATATTTCTTTTTCAAAGTATCAAAATTTATTTTAAATCTTCGAATTTTAGCTGAACTGAATCAATCAACCTGTGAAATTCTCAATTTATTTTAAATCTTTTTTCGTCCAAAATTCCTAAGCATATTTAATTTAATCAAACAATTGCACTGAAAAAAAGAGGATGCATGGTTTAGCTTTTAACAAAACTTTATTTCGAACTCCGCCCTCCATTTAGCTTTTATAATCGATGCAAAATAGTTGATTTAATTTAAAAATCCAATCCACTGATGTGTCTATGCTGTTAAATATTTTTATTTACTTATATCATTGCGTGTTATATATATGTGTGAGATTTATTTCAAATTGATGATGTATTTATCTCTTCGACCATCTATCAATCGAAAGTAAAAATTGGCTACGAAGTGTTTCAAATGTTTTTTTCTTTTTGTTTTTCATCTTTTTTATCAGTTGCTGATAGATTCATATATTTGTAAGTTCGATCATAAATCATGTGATTTTAAAATAATATATAATAAGTGGTTACAAGAAATGCGTCTTACAAATACATTTTTAATGTTCATTTATCAGTGAAATTTATTGTGAATTCTTTGACAATATCATACTTCGAAATATTGTTAAGCATCTCCGTTCTTACTTTCTCTTTCTTTAATTTCAAACTTATCCTGTGCTGTAATTGACTGTTATTTTAAAAGCTTAATTTAGGTCAAATTTTGAGTTTCAATAGTTTTAAAATTATATCTGACTTTCTGTATTGTGCTTATTTTTTAAATTAATTTTTGGAAGTCAGCTAATTTGATATTACTCAACAAGTTTCAAAGTATTTCAGGAATCGTTACTTGCACTGTGCATGAGTTGTCTACCTCTCCGTCCATTTCCGATACCCTCATCAACGCCATCACCAATTATTTTTCCGCTTCCTAGAGAAATCTGTACCGATTCGCAGCATCAGTATTCTTGGTACGTATATTAAAAACCTATCGCTTACATTTCTTCTATATTCAAGTTACGATTCATCAAGTGTTTTTAATTTGTTTCAAAATTTGGTTTTATTTATATTCGTCGATAATCTTGATTGATTTTAGGTCGCGTGAAAAAGAAATTGAGGAAAGTTTCCTATATACTCCAATTCGGCAAGATGAATCTGCTTTGAGTAGCGGTATCCTTTATTTTTATTTAACAAATGGTTGATCAAATAAAAGCTCCTTACTATATCGTGAGATTTAGAGAAATGATAAAATGAGAATCTTGGTTTAAAATTTGTTCTGAATATAAAACTAACAGCCAAGGAGTCATACTAATATAATGGAATGTAGTTTAAAAGCAGATTTATAATTATTGAAGGAGTGTGAGGATCAGAGGTAATCTGACTTGTCTAATTTTCGTGTTTTGCTATTGTAGATCTCTTTTTATTGAGGTGGATCAAGGCCTGTAAAAAAAGCTTTCAGTACAATAAAACTAACCATTGCGTATTTAAATAACAAACGAAACTCGGCACTGCAAAGCTCGACTATTAGTAGATAAGATAGCATTAACTATTGGTACTTGAAATGGTAATATTAAAATAAGTACTAAGACACAATTGTTGATGTTTAAGTGCGGCATTTTAATTTAAATGCAATATTTTAATTGCAATGAAATAAATAGCTCGTGATTCAAACATACACATAGTTGCAGATGAAGACATTGGTGACGATGAAGATGAAACACTGTTTACAGTAGCACCATTGCGCGACAATGATAAAGATAGGTCGCATCCAGTACCTGCGAGCTCTCCCCACCATCTTTCTTTAATTGAACTAACTGATGATTGCTTTCATTATTTCGTAGAATTTTTTCAAGGAACTATCACGACAGATTCAACTTCAATGACGACAACTTTGAATAAGTCAGAAATGGAAAATTTCGCTGACTTGGTGGCGAAAGCAGTAAAGGTAAACATTATGACTGATTTATTTGGCTAATTTTAGTTACTTGCAACTAAATATCTTGACTTTTAAATTTAATTATTACTTAAAATTTCAATTTCAAATTGTCAGTAGAATCCACATATGAGCAGCTGTATTGGAACACATTGTTATTGTGTTAATAAATTGCAGAAAACAAGATCGCCATCAGTTTTCATAAAAATCGCTTATCCGGCAACAATCCTTCCAACAAATTTACATTCTGTTTTACAACCGCTAATAAAAAATGATTCAAAACGGTATGGAATGGGTTAAGAGCCAATAATTGTAAAAATCAGAAGTATTCAATTTAATTTTTTAATTTCTACTGAAAACTTTTGTTTCATTTATATTTTTAATTTAATTCCTTATCGATGATCAACTTCAATTTACTTCCAAGGTTGAAATTTATAGTTCAATGAACTATTTCCAAAGTCGGTTTAAAAAAAAAAAAAAAAACTAAGTTTCGGTTTAAGAAAAAAAAACTGATACAACGATCTTTATCCTTTAAGAGATTTATTGGCAAAAAATATAACGCATTTGGAAGACGAATTATCATTCTCTGCTCGTACTGTATATGATTTGGATTGTTTGGTTTGTGATAAAACTGAAATGTGTACATCCTGGAAAACAATTGGAAATAATGATGAGAATCGGTATTATCCGGATAATTAATTTTTTTGATGTTGCTCATATAAAGTATTTACAATTTGGTGTTCGTTAGTTGATTTTCTACGCGTAGCATTAAAATATGATTTGGAAGAATATAATACTACAGTGATCTCAAATAGCTTAAAAACAATAATGCCGCTGAATTTTCAACGTCTGTTCATTCTAGGATTGGCAAAATGGATTCCAAGAATCACTTGCTATTTGAGAGTCGATTTGAAGGTGGAAATTTGAGGCGAGCCATCCAAGTATTATTTTCAACTATCTAAAAAGTCTAATTGTTTGTGTTTATTACACAAACTTACTTTTATATAAAAGAATTACTGTTTTAGATAAGTAAATGGCATTATCAGCTGATATTATCACCAGATATCAACCAGTTACGGCCACATTTTCAGTGGTTTTTTTTCGAAGTTTCCAATAATGAAGCAGGAGTGGATTATATGTTTGAGATTATTAACTGTTTTAAAAAAACATCCATGTTTAGTCGTGGTAATGATTTGTCTTGACGTTATTTATTATCAGATCCTCTATATTTGAGATATTTGTTTTAAAAGGTGCTTTTCCGGACAAATTTTTCATAAAAACAGGAATACTAAGATTCTACAACAAAATTTGGCTTCTAAATTGATAATTAAAGATATTTGGGAGATCATTAATAGAGGCGAGGTAATTGTGAATAACTCAAAAAAATGACTTTGCAGGTATGCAACCAGTACTGTTCTCAGTTACAGAGGCTTTTCGAGGAAATCCTAAATGGGTACGTGTAGGTTCAGCAATATGTTACTGTCGTAATACTTTCATCCGTAACAATTCTGGCAAAACGAATGATGCATCTGCTCCAAGGTATTTTAATTCTCTAACTTTTCAAAATAGAAATGAAAGCATAATGCTACAAGTAAAACATGTCCGGAAATGTATAATAAACTCATCCTCTAACCTAATCGGATATCTCATTTATTCAAATCCCCTCGTCTTTGAGTCATTTTCACTTATTCTCATTTTTGTAATTTTAACGTCATTATCTTGTCATGTGTGGGGTACGAAAGTTCGATATGCTTATTAAAAAATTAAATTGCAAATTTTAATACTGCAAAAATATGTGCATAATTTCAAAAGGTTGAAAAAAAAACATAAATCTTTGGAAAAAATTTATTTCGATTTATATAATTCTCCAATTTTTCAGGCACCACTTTTCGCTCTATTTCACAATCAGATTCAAGTATCATGCTGATGTATGTTACATTGCCTATCATTTCCCGTACACATATTCAATGCTTCAAGTAATTTATTATATATATTTAAACTTAAAATTGTTATAATGATGGCTCAAGTCAGGTGTTGAAACGAGAAGGCTCGGTTTATGAACTAGGGAGGATCTGTTAGGCGATAGCGGCGGACAACTTGAACTGTATTATATTAAAATAGAAGCGACAAAGAATATCTATTACATGTTTTAACCATACATAAATGTAAAAAATGTGCGGTGTAAAGTGGGTTCAATTTATAAATGGAACATAAAACGAAATGGTTGCTTCTAAATAAAAGCTTAAGGAAAGGAAAGAATTTTTTAAGGAATGAAAAGGTTTTTTCACTTTTAAAAAGCCGTTTTTAAGTTTTTGATTAGTGTATAAGTATTTAATTCGATTAAAGAAATTTTCAAAAACGGCTCTACCATGACTCTATTTATTATATGTATGCATTATTTTTCAGTTTTGTTTTTTATTTCCGTTATTATAAGCTTTGAGGGATAATTAAATTTTATGAACATTTTAAAAAATTATTGCATAGGTATTAAAATTCTTTTAATAATTTCAGGCTACTTTGGAGAGGTATTTATCGAAAAATGGTAAAGAAGGACATCTGTATATTCGTAATGATCGGTTGTGTACATCATTAGCTGGTAATAGTGTGTCACTCCTTACAGTGACCGCTAGTGGTACTAAAGAACAATTGATTGATCGTCAAATTATAGTGCTATGTGCAAGAGTGCATCCGGGAGAAAATAACACAAGTTGGATTATGCATGGTACTTTTTCTAATTTATAAATGTTAGTTAAATTCAAAAATGGGACAGGACGTGCAGTATAGTTCAAAGAAAGTTAGCAAAATAAATTACATATGTAGGAAGTAGTTTAAAATGAGCATCCTTTTAAATCTTTTCTCTTTTCAATAAAATAGTAATTAAACTATATTCTATATCTTCAGTACTGCATGCAAAATGTTATGGAGGTATTCTTCATTTAGTTATTATAAAAAGTGAAAGAAAAGGCAAATAAAGATTACTGTAAACAAGATATGTTACGGCGAATTATCATTAGTGTTTTTAACGAATTTGCTAGATCTCGAATTTAACGCAGCTTGTTTGACTGGAGTAATTTTTGTTTCTTCATATTATTCATTTTTTCTATATTAAATTGATGAATAAGCATGCACCTAACCGAGAAGATAACAACAATAGTGAAAATTTTAATTGAAATTTGGGTCTGTAATAGAGTGTCAAAATAATTTTGCCATTCGTACCAAGGGGTTATCATATTTCACTTTGAAGACATAAGTAACATATCAAAGTATAAATTTAAAGATTCATTTACGACTGTCCGGTGTTATCATATTCATGGTGAATTTTTATTAAATTGAATGTTTATAACATGTGAAATTTTTAAAGGCATTATGGATTTCTTGATGAGCGATGAGAAAGAAGCTATGGAGCTTCGTGATCAGTTTGTATTTAAATTGATTCCAATGTTAAATGTTGATGGTGTGATAAATGGTTCACATCGTTGCAGCTTAGCTGGTGTAGATTTAAATCGAACTTGGAATCAACCTTCACCAGTATTGCATCCTGTTATTTATCATAGTAAAGCTATTGTACAATATGTAGTAGGTTTTCTTTTTTATTTTGTATGGGCTTGTTTATAATTATATATGTAGCTTGCACGTTAGATTAGTAAGTCATATTCATGCCAGATTTTTTTTTCATAAACATGATTCTTTTGAAGTAAAAGCATTTTGATTTCTTTGCATTGCTAGTTTTCTTATTAATTTACAAAATTTATAACACACAGTGGTTGATTTTTAACATTGTAAAATAGGAGCACATATTTTTTAAAAATAGTTGTGCGATATGGAAGAGGTAATGAAATGCAAATTTTAGGTTGATGTGCTTGGAAAGAAACCCTTTTTGTTTGTCGATATACATGGTCATTCTAACAATTTTAACTTTTTTCTTTATGGAAATAATCCTGATAATTCGTGGCGTATTCTGGATCACTCGCTTCCAGGAAAAAATGATTTCATGTCGCTTCCGATATTTTTGCAGCAGGTATGCTTAGAGATGGTTTGTCAAATAGAAAAGGTATATTCGAACATTAATCGAATAAATAAGAACACAATTTTTTGTCATGGGAAATTTTAAGATTTATAAAACTTTTGCTAAATTCTTTGCGTTTCACATAATTAAACAGCTTATTCTGTTAAGTCACGGAAACTTTTTCCACAGATGTGTGATTATTTTTCACTATCAAGTTGTCGATTCAACATAACCAAAACCAAAGAATCATCGGCTCGTGTAACAATGTGGAGGCAATTTGGTGTTACTCGATCGTATACCCTAGAATCTACTTATTGCGGTTTCAATTGCGGTTCATTGAAAGGTTACCAGGTTGTTATTTTAGATTTGAAGCTCTTTGAAATCTTTGAAAAAGTGTATTGATTATAAATACAATAGTTTCTGTAAGACGCTATTCCAAATAATAAAATTAAAGTTTTATGCTTCATAAAAAATCATTTTTTTCACATTTTAAATATAGTTGTTTAATATTCTAAAATCATCACTTGTTGATGGATCGAGTAATATCCAGAAAAATGACCTGTTTATAATTAGATTGAAATTATTTGGGCCATATGGTGAAATTTAATCAATTTTCTTGACATAACAACAGTGAGAAAAGAGCAGATATATTAAATGAATTTAATATAGTAAATTGAGTTCGAATTTTTATATCTCATTCAACATTTATTTTTTTGAAAAGTGTTGTTTTGTATTTTTAGATAAATATTGAGCATTTGATGGAAATGGGTAGACAGCTGTGCAAGACATTTAGCTATTTGAAGAATAGCAGTCCTTCGAATCAGCAGGAGGATGATGATGACTCAGAATAATTTTGAAATCTAATCAAAATAAAAAACGTGTAGATTACTTATTACTCGTTTTATTAATTATCTCTAAACGTGTACTTGGTTGAAACTGCAAGCATATCATATCATTTACAAGACCCTAAAATAATAGTTTGAGTTCCATAAATTTGGCTATTGGAAATAAATCTGGAAAATCTAAATCCTTATATTTCTCAATGTCTTAAATACATTTAAACTGATATCGTAGTTTATGAAATCTTCAGTCTCCAGAATTAGCTTTAGAATTCAGTGGAGCTTTAGTCGATTTTCGTAAATCAAACTGGACTTAAGTTTAAAAGAAACTTTTTTCATAATTGTTTTTATTACGAATTTATTGTTATTGTTTCCCATGTTTAAATTTCAAATTTTCTCTAGTCACACATAATTTGTATATTTAATCCATCTTTTTTCAGCGATTCTCATTATCAAATTGGATTTTTCGACTTACTCCTTCTTTCTAAATCATGATTAAATCTTATTAATTTTACTATAAATCAGAAAATTTTTTGGAAAACTATTCTTTCATGTACTTAATGTATCGTTTGTGTCTCAATTTCCTCAAGTATTATGTTGATGATATATTTATTTAGGTGTAATTATGTTTCGTTTATTCATGTGCTATTTGTGTTTGTGTTTATATTTGCTTGTTGGTCTTAGAAAGGTATATGTTCCACTGTTTTTGAGACAATAGGATTTTTCAAGAATTTTGCAAAATTTTTGTAGTTGGTATTTGATATGAGTAATAGTTATTAGTTTGAACTTTTAGTTGTCTAATTTATTTGATGTTCTGGTTCAAAATCTCTTAAAATTATTTTCATTTGGTTGTGTAAGATGATTTGACCATAGTCAATCACTGAAGTATTTTAATATAAGATTTTATTTATTCTTAAATGTGTATTAAATGAAGATATGGATGTCAAGCAAATAAAAGAAAAGTCGTAAGGAAGCTTGCTGCTTTGCTCAATTAAGGGAGGAATTGAAAGGTAGAAGCGATGTAATTAAAAGTTTTTCGATTCCACACTAAAGCGTTTTGTTTTCATAAGGATTACACGACAAAATGCTAAATGTGTGAAGAGATCGTAATTGCTAAATATAATTAATTTATTTTTGCGAAAATCGAAAGGATTTTGACCTTCGACCGATTTTCTGCGCTAAGTGTTTGAGATTGTTAAAAAAGAGCTTTATAAAAAAAGGATTACAAGTCAACATATGGCGAATTAGGGGTCCTTCATTACTGCTCCTCTACAGGTAATGCATGTTTCATCAATAAATTTTGTCTTCTCTATTCGGCTTTATCCTTTCATGTGGAAGTCAATAACTTGAGTTTAAAATAAGAAACGACGCCTGGAAAGCATATCATCATTTTCAAAATTATTTGATACTATTTAGTTTATTATTTCCTATGAAATGTTACCATTCTTCTTTTTTTTTTCAGATACATTCAACCGTAATTTTAATGAAAACATGCAAAAAATTAAATAAACTTTTCAATTGGTTGAAAAAAGCAAGATAAGTCATTTTGAAGAACAAAATTTGAGCTTTTTCTTTGAAATTAGTTTACCTGATCGATTATTACAACAATTAATTCATTGTCATTTTAGTCTTCCTCCGTCAATAACTGTGAGCCGTATAGTTGACAAAAGTCCAAATCAGAATTCTAGCGGCGACTGACAAATTTCAGAGTTATCGAAAAGGCCCACTTCTTGGCTAACATTTTTTTGAACGATATACTTCATGTTTCTGCTCTACCAACTTCACCAAAATTGTAAGTTCACTACACCATTTAAGCCGTTTATTGTATATTGGTTGAATATGCTTCAGAAATTTATCAATTCCTGAGAATTAAAAGTTATCGCCATTAGAAATATATTAAATAAATCTTAAAATTTTGTTAAAATATTCCTCAGTATTGCTGGATTCAAAAATACTTTTTCCCTCTGAATTCATCTTTATTTTAAACAATATCTGGATTCATTTTTATTTATTTTTTAAACAATAATAACATCAAATCATTATAAACACTTTTTCTTTTTATAATATTGCCTATTTCAAACAATTGTTCATCCAATAAAACAATACGTTTACTTTTTTACTTATTCACTTGTTAAATTGTTACTCAATCGTTTGCTTTTCATTTATCTTATACATCTTTATCTAAAAAATAAAAATCAATTTTATTTCAAGAAAAGAAAAACTTTTAACTACAAGAGAAATGCAATGAATGGAAATGATGAGTGAATAATACAGTAATAGTTCATCGAAGTGAAGTGAAGATCTTATTGCCATTAAAATTTTTAGTATTCCAATCTACCTATTCTCATTTTACTCTCCTCCTTCCATCTATAAAATCCATTAAGAACCAGGAACAATCCATTTTAACAGGTGTGATGATGATGATGGCATTTTTACTTCTTACCTCTCTAATTTTCATGCTATTTCAGTGCTGTGATACTAATTGATAATGCACAGCAATATATCGCGACAAACTGAGGTGAGCAATTTTGTTGAAATGCTCTCTCTTTTTTCTCCCTCTAAAGTATATCGTCGAAAACGATAATTGGATTAGCATTTTCCTAAATTGTTCCTTTCTTTCTGATGGCATCGTTGTCCGTCATTGCTTGAACCAATAGAATATTCTGCCTCCGCCTCTCGTTTTCAACTTCTACCGTATCCAAGAAATGGTCTGACGTTTGTGGTTATATGGAATGGCAATCAGGATGATTATGGTTGTTAAATGATGGATGAGTTGTGCGGTAGTAGTGCTTTATTAACCACTAATACAAATAATCATCATCATCAACATCATCATCATCATCACTCTATTAGCTCACTGATACAGCGAAATGGTCGGTTATCTTTTACTCAAAAACTTTTTGTCAAATTTACATCTGACTTTTGTTGATATGACCACTTATGCTGATCGTTTATTATTATAATGAATGATATTGTACTGATTTGAAATATAAGTATATTCATATGTTAAAAACATACTGAATCTTCTTTTTTGATTACATGCGGAAATCTTAAGGAAATGTAAATGAATGTTGTGAAAGTTGAAAATAAGATCAAAAATATGTGAAAGGATTAAACTTTAGAAGTACAGCATGGTCATGTAAAAGTTCCGGATTTGATTACCTCTCCGGTAGCATCAGGCACCCACCAGCAACACAGTGATGGAAATAGACGGCGAGATAGGTTAGTCTGATATAATGAAAAAAAAAATCATCCAAGTAATTCTTTGAAATTTTGTATATTTAAAAATTTTAAACATTCCATATTTTTTGTATTAATAAGAAAATGAATTAAATCCAACTTTAAATTTAAATTTTTAACTGTCTGAAATTTGAACGTTTAAGCTTTCTAACTAAAAAATTCCTGACTTATTACCTTTTTTGTGGACTATAATTTTTTCATTTTTTAAATTTGTTCTTGAAATTTTTTATCAACATAACGTACTTCTTGATATAATTTTATTCATAACAATTAACTTCTTTTCGTTTAAACATTCATGAACTCTTTCATTTTCTAAGCGCCTTTTTAAACTATTATAGGACCATTTTATAATATTTTCTTCTATAACTGGGTTATAATAAATTAAAAAGGTATAATAATTAGGTATGATTATGAAAACATACTTAAATACTATCAAGAAAATTAATATATTAATTCTATCAAAAAATTAATATATTAATTCGAATATACAGAAGTTATATACAGTAAAATCTTTCAACGTTATTAAAACGCGAAACTTTACGCAAATTTTCGCTAATTTCAAAAAAAATGAAATGCCATGCTTTACTTAATAATAGTACTTGTAATATTAGATGTAAGCTTCTTAAAAGAACATAAAGTAGCGTTATTTTTTTTGTTGAGAAAGTTCAAGAAATGCTAATTTCAGAGAATCAAAGAAACAGAGGCGCAATAGGACTACATTCACAACGTTTCAGCTTCATGAATTGGAGCAAGCCTTTGAAAGATGCCATTACCCGGATGTTTATGCCAGGGAGGTAGAAGTTTGAAAACTTTTCGTTTTGTTCAAGATTTGATGAATTTGATAGAAATTTATATCATATTTGAATTATCATATATTTTGTACTCGACAAATTTATTATAACCAATTTGAAGTGTTTTCAAACAGTGATTTGAAATGGAAATATTCAATTCAAAGTGTGATAAAGCTATCAGCAAGCAATCATTTAAATTAAATTCATTTTTAGACGATATTTCATCATTTCAAATTTTATATTAAAAATTGTGTTTTATTTTCAGTTGCTGGCTCAAAAAGTAAAACTTCCTGAAGTTCGTGTTCAGGTTAACTATTATATTCTTATGTTACACTTTATTCTCTTTACAGTAATTACTTCCAATTAAATTGCATGTATTTCAGTTGATTTCGGTTCTTATGTCTTCCAATTCTTAAAAGCCAATAATTTATAAATCTACTGACATCCAATAGCTCCACATGAAATAATGTGAAAATTCAGAAGAAGAAATGTTTTGGAATTCTAAAACATTGTATTCAAAACTTTAAACTAAATAGACTGGATATTATACTATGATATTATATTGGTCCCGGAATTCCGAGACTTCTTAACTTTGACAGTTTTAGTATCCTGGAAGTTTCCAACTTCTGTGAAAGTGTGATGACAGTTTTCAATTTGAAATCTAAATAGAATAATTGGAGTGAAAAATAATCTATTTTTTTACGAAAACCGGACTTTCATGGTTTTTGGATGATATGTATGACCTTTCAGAAAAGGGGTAATCTGCTTGTCTTGTTTGGGCTCATTAATTAGCCTTCAAGTAATCGTTTGTGAGAGAGTGCAAAATAATCTCAAATTTCATCCCTTCAAACTGTCAACTCTAATTGTCATTCCCTTCTTCAGCACATGTCTTCCCAATACCAAAATAATGACATAATAACAAATCTCTTCAGGCCTTTCCGACTTTTCCTCCTGTTAATTCCCATTAAGACCGATCGCTAATCCGAATTACCTATAAATTCCCAAAAATTATATCCACGAAGAGGATAAAAAATACCTATTAAATTAACAACTATTTCTGATATAAAAATAGTGAGAAAAAACTTTTGAAGAGGGTGTGCTATTAGGAAATATTGAATGATTTTTTAACAATTAACTTAGCAAATCCCCTGAGTATAATGCGCATTTTGTCATTAACGCTATTTTACGCAGAATAAAGTCATAAATATATCTCATCAAAAATAACAACTCTTAACCGTGGTCAATTGTCAAACATTTTGATTAAGCAATTGGTTGATTCAAGCATCAATAAATCGATTCGTATTATGAGAATTGAGGACTGAAAATGAAATTAAATTACTATCGATAATTAAATTAGAAATTAATGGATTAAAAAATGAAAGGAATTTTCTTGTTAATTGAACATGTATTCAATATGTGCACCTAATTAAAGAAGTGTTTTTAGGTCTGGTTTCAAAATCGACGTGCCAAATGGCGTCGTCAAGATAAAGCAGAAAGTAGTGCAATTGCGGATTTACCACCTGTGCGACACAATACCGCTGGTGGAATACCATCATGGGCATGGATGACTCATCCGGATGATTTTTCTGGTCTAATGCATCCATTCGTTCCACAATCAAATGGTTTACCAGGCCCAGATATGGTCAACTGCTTCCTTCCTTTATTTTTTCCATTCTCTTGTTTATTACTTGTCTTTTTCCAAATGTATGTGTATATGTGCGTATGTGTGCATGTGTGCATGTGTGTACGTGTGTGTGTGTGTGTATTGTATGTATGCGTGCGTATATGTATGTGTATGTGTATGTTGTGTCTCACGTTCGATGAGCCGATTGGTTGATTACACTTGAAGTTTTATCTCTCAGTTTTTGACCAATTCATAAGTCTATCAAATATGAAAAAAATTAAGGTGAAGTCAAAAATTGACGCATTACCCGTCAATTTTTGACTTCACCTTAATTTTAAGTTGAATTTTATTACTATATAAATTTTCTTGACCTCCAATTTACTCTTTAAACACTTTGAAATTATGTTCACGCTAGCATGCTAAATACCTTCTTTATACAATTGAAAATTTGAGGTTTGCTTTATTTTTTATAAATTTAATCCCTTCATAAGTTTAAATTAATCATTTTTTTCATCATATATTTGTTCGGCATGTTGAAAGAATGCTATAATGATTATCTTAATTTATGAATACAACTTATTGGTTTTTCTAGGTTATGAAACCACCTTCATCCTTTTGTTTCGGTTATTTACCAACGGCGACGCCTACGGCAAATACATATACAGGCATAACAGGTTCCGGAATTGGTGGTACACCATCGTTTCCTGATATTGAATTACAGGAAGGAGTTCATAGTGAAAATCAGAAGAACATCTATTCTAATAATATGATTGTCTAATAGAAATGTGTGAATCAATAAATAGTTTGTGATGAGAAATGGAAATTTCAAAAGATTGCTTCAAGTATCATTTTTGTGAAATTCGATGCGAAGTACGCAAAAATGAAAATGTAACGATAGATATTATTAACAGACTTCTCATATTAATGTATGCATTTTGTTTTGAAAAAATGATTGAAGAGCTATGGAAGGTAAAAAAAGTAAATTTTATAAATCCAACTTTGATTTATAATCAATAAAAATCTTTTTGGTATGCTTGTGTGATGTGAACTGCTAAAGATAAAATAAAATATTGAAATAAATTAATTGATTTGCTCATATATTAACTATCGATCATTGAATATCAAATAATAATTAACTAATCGTCCGTACTTTAGCATTTCTGATTGCAATAATCAAAATTTATCTGATCTTTCCGCTAGTTTCAAATTTTTACAAGTATATTGAAAAGGTAAGCATTAATTACGATTGTTGTTCCTTTTGCAAGATGCAGCAATTTGATCTCTTACATCAGTTTTTGTTTTTAACTTTTAATTCATTTAATGTAAAAAAGATGGTGAAATACGCAAGAATAATTGGAAAAAGATGAAATGCAAATGAAAAAGCAACACAGCTTATAACTATGAAAATTTCACTATTCAACACAATAAGTCAATATCTTTGATTCTTGGTATTAACTTCCGTGACTGATAACTTTTATAACAGTACTGATAACAGATTTGCATAAATACTTTCCCCACACGCTCATCTTTGTTTATCTTTAATACTTTCAAGGCAACAAATCACCAATTACCTTCCATATTTTTCCTTTTTTATAAACTACATTAGATTTATATTGTATCTTAAAATATTTTAATTAATATTCTAAATATAAAATATTCTAATTAAGAAATTACATTATATCTCTTAAAATAATTATCTAACAGGTCATTAAAAGTTGTTTTAATGTTCTATCAAAAATCAAAATCATTATTTTGCAAATTCTTCTTCATAATTCAAAAAATTCTTCGTCTTCTTTAGAACTCGATAACATTTTGATGCTTTTTTTGCAAGTACTTTGAAAAAGATTTTATGTTTAAAGTTTTTAAAAAACTTTAAACATAAAATCTTTATCAAACATCAGTTTGATAAAGTCTAAAATCAAAGGAAAAATGCTTTCGCTTGGATTACATCAAGAAAAAGCAAGTAGATAAAACTTAGCAATTGTTAACGAATTTTTCTTCTATGATTTCATTGTTTCATTCAAACTCATTTATTAGTATTACATTAAGTTATCAGGCGTCATAAAGTTACGAATTAATTGATGGTCTACTCTGAAATATCGAATTCCTTTACTGACTATTTTTACTTTTACACAAATGACATGGATTAATTATTGAACAAATTCCTGCTTACACTGATGATTCGCGTCAGAGAATAAAAATTTTTTTAACAAAATATAATACTATAGTCTCGTAAAATGTTTAGAACTCTTGGAATATTAGCTCTTCCTTCGAGAGAAATGATCGTTGTGCAAAAAGTAAAATGAGAAGGAATTGTATTCTATCAAAATTTTGCAAAATTTTTTTTTCTTTTTTGAGAGAACATTTCGTTAAGCATTTTTAATGGAAATAAATTTCGGATGAATCATTTTAATTTGATTTCTACGATAATTACAACTAAAAGATATTTTATCAGTATGTTCAAGAGATAAAGGTTACACACATTTTTGAGAGCAAAAGAATTGAATAGGTGTGATGGGAAAGTGGAAGGTGGTTGAAAGAGATTAAATGAATAGTTGTAAAATAGCGATCATTCTTTCTCATTTCCTTCCGTATCAATCATATCATACTGTACTTCAAGCAGTGTTTTCTTTCTAGCAATCTCGGATATTCTCGACACTTTTGTACTCTTTTCAACCCATCTCTGAAAAAATCACTTATTATATTTCGTTTATTAATTATTATAAACGAAGATAGTCATATATAAAATTACAAAAAACTGCATTCATGCATGCATGCAATTCATTAATGCATACGAGCTTATATTTCATACAAATTAACATCATACCGTGCGTTACTAAAAACTAATGTATTTTTTATTTTCTGCTCTTTACAATGAAAAAAAAAGAGAATTTCGAACAAAATAATAAAGTAGTTTCATAAAATTGCTTGATTGATAACTTTTTTATTTCTCCTATAATATTAATTGACCCTTTCAAATTACCAATTTCATTGAAGCATTTGATAATATTTAAGCATAACACTTAGCAGAAAGATTAGTTTGCATTGATAAAAGGTATTCAAATTACAGACTAATGCAGCTTCACCTTTTATTTGTGGCTTTCATTCTACCATGCTATCCAATAAGTTTAGCAATTACATTCGGGCGAATAACTAATCGAGTAATAGCACCATCAGTAACACTCATTCATATTAGTAAATTTTGTTTTATTTTATCTTCTCTTATATTATGCAACTATTTACTTACTCATTTATTTCTTCATTTGTATAAATTGTTTCACTAAAATTTCTATTCAAAGATGATGAAATAATATGTAAAGTGAAAAATAAAAATTTGAATACTGCACTGGATCTCTTATCTCGCGACGGGTTGTTATCACTACCTCTCATCGTATTCGTGATAAATCTAGATATGCTACATCTTATTAATTAGCTAATTTGATTTGCCCATTAATTATTTACTCATTCGTTTATTAAATTACATACTAAGTTATCTAAATTATTAATTCTAAATAGCAATTCAGTTGCTGATGATTAATTCAATCAAAAATAAAATCCAATAAAGTTAACTTTTACTTCATTTTTCATGGCATAAATGAAAATTTATACAGTGGAGGTTTTTTATAGCTCGATATTGATGGTCAATTTTTTGGAAAAGAAATATTATTACTTTTCCGCACTGTTAAGAAGTATTACATATTTCGACAAGCCGTTCGTTTTTTTAAATAACAGTATTAAAATTTTTGAATTTTTTTACAATGAACAAATTTTATCGTTTGTTTATTAAAATACAGTGTTGCCGATAAATTATGAAAAGTTAAATTATATAAGAAAAGATGTAAAAATTTAACGGATAAATAACGTTTATATGAGCTATTAAAAACATTTGAAAAGTTTGAAAGTATCAAAATGTGATAGATAAAAGATAATTCATTATAGTCAAACGAAAAAGTAGCTTTACTGCTTTTTAATAAATCAATAAAAATAAGTGATCGAAGTGATCCACAACATGAACGTCTGGGAATTGCAAAATTACCAATTGGTAATATGCATTATCATTGGACTGATAATATCATATCAACGGAATGTACAATGTTTGGTTATGGAAAACATGAAAGTTTGCTCTTATCAAACTTATGTATTTCATGAATTTCATACTAAATCTCATATTTTCACGTGATGACCTATTTTGTTACTTCATTTCCATTTATTATTAAAATAAATTTAGAGCATAGCAAAATTGATTTTTACTTGCGCAGTATGCAACTTAATTTGACTGTTTCAACAGCACTAATCACCAATCTTACTAATATTCGAAAAAAAAATTCAAATTTGCAGTGATTATGTATGAATAATATTTTTTTCGTTTTTGCTTCTGTTGTTGTACTATTTGCATTCTTCATAAATTTAAATGGAAGAAATTGATGAAAAATAATACATATGTAAAAGATTTTTTTCTTGAAAATTTAAATTTTAGCAATACTTAAACAAATTCATTGGGTGATAGTGGAGGACCAGTAATATGCAATAGCAACGGTACACCATACCTAATTGGTATAGCAACATCTGTTACCTCATTAAGAACTTCAAAAATATCACAGTTATGTCCTGTTTATCAACTCTCAATATTTTTCGATTTTGTCTACTTCAACTTGGAAAAGTCTTATTGTTTTATTTACCTGCATCTTGAAGAAGTCTTATTGTTGTATCTACTCGTATCTTGAGGTAAGCCTTATTGTTTTATATACCTGTGTTTTGGAGAAGTCTTAAATTACTTTATATGTCCATTGCAATTTCATCTCTGAGACGCAATCATTTATATCGAGAATTCTGTCATTTCTAATCTCCTTTAAAATAGATTTCAAAAATAATAATTTACAGCACAAATTTTTCGATTTCTCAATGTTCATGGACAGATTAACAATATGCTCAATGATTACCGGAAATGTTTCAACAAAATGTACCGGAAATGAAATTTTCGATATTAAAGAAAAATTATCTCTTTCTTGCATTATCTTGCTGCAATCACTTTGTTGCTTGTTAAAAAGCTTTATGATGTGCCAGATAGTTCGCATTTTCTGAAATAAATGATTTCAAAGAACTGAGATAGAAAAGCAGAAGAGCTTTGTAATTTGTAATGTCAGTGATCACAGATTCGAAGAACTGTCCATACGATTCAAGTGTTGCATGCAAATTTTAACTAGTCAGCAATAAATCACATACCTCAATTGACCTTTTGAAATCTGTTGAGAATGAGGTCTGGTTCCACTCATAGCTGATCAAATTTATCAAATGATATACTGAATTTAAAGTAAATTTTGATAATTATGCTGAAACATCCATTTGTGCGCTTTACCAGTGATTAAAATTATCTGAAAAGTCGCTCACTTAATCTGCAATGGATTCCTCGATATGTATGATGTACAGTAGTATTTGCAAAATCAAAAGCTGAAAAAAAAATGAAAAAATGTTCGCTTTGATACCAGTACTTTAGCTGTTACAATAATTTATTGCCTGCAAAGAAGAAATAAAACGAGTAAAAAAATATGTTGACAAATGGAGATAAAAATAAACAACTGTATTAATTCTAAAATTACATATCCTAAAAAAAATCAATATTGCACATAAAAGAAAAACAATAGAAATAATATTTGTCATGTAGCATTCATGAGCAAAAAAATGAACAATGGAGATTAATTTATTGAAAACTTTTAAAAGCAAGATGTAAATTCTCGGAAAATTTGATTTATTAAACTGTTATAAGAGAAAATACCCTGAATTATTTAATTATTATTTAATTGACAGATATTCACAACTCGTTCTTCCATTTCAGGTAAATTATTCTAACGTATCATAAAATTCTAAAGATACATTAATAACAAGTACTGATGATAGCATTAAGGAATGGAAACTATTGACGAACGCTGAGATATTTAAACAGCAGCTTTTTATTCTCTTTTTTTGAATGCTTCGTAAACTGCCTCTTCCATCAGGTTAGTCTTTTCATTTATATCCTTTATCTTCATTTTGAACAACCAACCTAAAATTATATCACTATTAATAAACTTTTATCAACTGATACAACAACTAAAAAATCATTTTTATCAAGAAATCATGCAGGTTCGTTCCATCTTCCCAAACAACAAATTGGTCGCGAACAAAGGTAATTTGAAACAATAAATTGTGGTAATAAAACAAATCACATTCAATAAACTTTCTTTAAGCTATGTCTGTACCATTGTACGCCTCCTCTAAAACAAATTTTTCTTACAATAATATTGTTAACTTGCGACGTGCTTCTCCTGCCTTCCTCTCATATTAAGAAAAATTATATAAGAGAAGATAAAGCACATTCACTTTCCTACCTTCTAAGTATTTTCCCATTAACCTGAAAGCAGATGTAGTTATTTCCAATATTTAACTAAATATTATCAAATCATCAGTTCCTGATTAATGAATTATCTTCATCGACTATACTTGGAAGACTGAAATGTACCTTTATCAAAGGCGGATTTATTAATCAATGAAGGAGTGATTTCAACTTCAGTGTTCTTTTCCGTAACTGTTCCAGAAATAGGTGAATGGATATCTGATACTACTTTTACACTTTCCAATGCACCAACTGAGTCGCCTACATTTAATTCTTTTCCAACTTCAGGCAGTTCCACATAAACAATATCACCAAGTGCTGCCTAAAAACATTTTTATCACTTTAATAAAAATGTAATTCTTCGGTACTGAATCAAAAATACGAATTTTTAAAACAGCTCTTTAAAACAAAGCTAGCGCAACTGCATGATGCAGACGAAGTGCTGAATATCCTAAAATATTTTGAAGTCATCTTAACCAGAAGCAGAAATTCCTCTGACAACAAAAGATTATATAATATCAACCCTCCAATTAATTTGCCAAATCCAACCATTAAAATATTAAACCTGCGCAAAATCACTGATTCCAACAACTGCTGTATCACTTTCGATGAACACCCATTCATGATTTCTTGTATAATACCGACCTGTAAATATTTTTTGAATACGATTAATTTACTTATGACCCAACTTTATATGGTTCCGTTTAAAACGATTTAAAATGTCTAAATTTTTAATACTGATTATAATTCGCAATCCAGTCTTATTTGAATATTTCACCCCAGTGGAACGGTTAGGCAAAGTAAAAATATAGTAGGGCATATTCCTGAAGTTTTGGAAATTATTACGCATTTGGCTGTTAGGAAAATGCACTCATAATCTCATCACTTAATAAATCAAATTTTTTTGAGAAAGTTACAATTGGACAATTTCAGTACTGTTGGTAAATTTTAATTGGCTAATTTATCCAATTTTAGAAATGCTTCGTAATATACCAGCAAATAAACACTGCGACGTAGCAAAACGATAAGCTGGAGCGAACAGTGATTCTGATATGATAGATGGAAAAAGTCTTTGAATTATTCGTATGCAGTACATTACCATATCTGTGAAATATTTGAAGCAATAGAATTTTTAACTGAATTATCTTTTATGCAAGGTGTAACTGATTTGAGTAATATAACAGTGGATCATATAAATTACTTTTATAACTCAACACATGAACAAATGGAAGGAAATATTTTCAGATTAAGTTCCTAATCCAGCATAATTCTATCTTATTGAATAACAGATAGATGGTAGAGATTTGAATGTTAACGCTATTGATATTTTATTTTGTGAGATACAATGAAGCAAATAATTCTTAGAAAAAAAAAATCGAAGAGCTCTCATAAGCATTCTGTGCATCTGTATATATTTTTATGATATCAGTTCATAACAAACTTCTGACTATTTCACTTCAAAACAAATATGCTCAAATATGTAAGTTGCTCATTATATTTCATTAATTAGTTACTTCTACTGTAATGCCCAAAAAAGTTGTGTTCTTAGAAAAAAAGGAAACATAGTCCTATCATAGTAAAGGATAATAATATAATTTAAATTCCCATCGTACTTTTCTCTCTTTACTTCTCTTGTTTAGGATACAAAAATCATTCCTTCCCATAGCAACAAATTTATCACTTACAAAATACAGGTGACTGAAATTTAAAAGGTATCATCTTCTCTATATTCAATTTCTCTTCATACTTACATATTTGAGCATATTAAATCCTTGTATTTCTTATTGCCACTACTATTTTTTTTTTACTGTAAAAAATTTCCTGTCTAATTCTATTATCTTTTTCTCAAAATTTTCTACAATCTTTTTCTCTTTTCCTTCACTAAAAATTCAATTTTATTCAACTAACACCCTAAAAAATATATCTTTATTCTCATTAATTAAACATACAATATTTAGTGTATCGGTAATTTAATAAGGTCTTAATTGAGCGATTTTTTTTATTTTTAATCATTTTTTGCATTTTATAATAAACATTCATACAAGACTTCATTTCACATTACACAAATTCATGACGTAATTACTCAAAACGGAGATGTTTACTTATTCATGTAATGATTGCTATATTATTAGTACTCATTGATGAAGATACTTCATAGAGATGAAATAAATCATTGTGACAATAAATGACCATATTAGCATCCTTCAATTAAAAAAAAAACAAATACGCGATACATCCAAATCCCCGCCACCCACTCATTTCATACTAATTAGTGTAATGCGCCGAGCCACTAAATGTGTAAGTCTGTCAGTTCGCTTCTCATTCGTTAGCAGTTGGCATGGGAGGAGTAATCTCAGCAATTCGGGAAAGCTATTAATCGGTTTTCTGACTAGCCAATTGCTTCGTCGCTTGCTTAATTTCTGTCCCCTCAATTATGCCAATATTATGAAGACAACATTTTTGCGCTTGCAGCTGACAAATAGATGTTACAACAAGCAGAGAGAAAGAAAAACCAGTCGTCCCGAAAACAAAATTAACTGTTCCGGAAGAAACAGTAGCTGTTCAGATGCGAGAAAGAAGCTAATTCGTATAATCATGCAGTAAGGAATGAATAGTGGAAGAGGTATATCATTTTCATTATATTTGAAAAAAAAAATTCTTTTTGCTTGAGCGAAATATCTAAACAAAACGGAGTCACATTTTTATTATTTTATAAATCCGATTTTTAACATTAATTGAATGGAGTCGTTTTAGCCCAGACTAATTACTTTAACTAAAACTTTACTGCATATGAACCTTTTGTGATTCTTCATAATTTTAAACAGCGATGCTGTTTAAGTTTTTTTTTTTTTGAGACGTAAAAATAGATTTGCTTTATTGATATAGGAAAAGAAAGTCTCCGAAATTATGTAGAGTAGTATAGATTTACGGTTTGAAAAATCTGTAATTTTTTCTCGTTTAAGTAGACTGGTTTATTGGCAGTTTTCTTGGTATATTGCACTCCTTTCTCGTAAATCATATGTACAAAATTGTACCAGAGCCATATATGGATGAAATTTTTCACATCGATCAAGCCCGACGTTTTTGTGCATTGAATCTCACGTCAGTTTATGATTCATTTTTGATTATTACTTGTCTCTCAATAAGCCATCAGAAGGCATTATCTGAAAATGTTCTTTATACAGATATTTTATACAAGTGAGAGTGAAGTATTATCCTGGAAAAGATTGTAGGTGGATGAGTCAGTTATAAATTTGCTTAAATATAAATGAAGAGAATTTCAGTTAATTTTCTTAGTGCAGTTTAAGAATTGTAATGAATTTGATGAGATGACTTTGTATATTTTGTTGGGCAACTACATGCTCGTAATTTGTTGAATTAATTTCTAAGCTGATATGAAAATGATTTCAGATGGAATCCAAAAATTACTACACCACCAGCTTTATATATGCTTTCGCTTCCTTTTTTTTGCGGTTATGAAAGATACACGAATTCTGCCTTGATTCCCTTCGCTTTTGTTGGTTGCATCCGGTTCCGACAACTTTTCCAGAAACCCGTATTCAAGTTAAGTTTTCGATATCTGGAATTCACACTAAGTTCTCTAAGTGCCCTCTTACTTCCTGTACTTTTTCATTCTTCATTCCTGTATTATACTGACTTGTTATCATTAACAACGCTATTGTGGGCTGTTTCTCTTCAACCGGGTGTAATATCCTCTTCAATTTTCATTATTTCTATATGCACCCGACAAACAAACATCATTTGGGCAGCAATATATGGTTTAACTCATTTGTTTACTTTATTCAAAAAGCAGAATAAGGATGCCTTATCAATAGTAGTGCTGATTAGGAGCTTGCTGCACCTTTGGTCATTATTACTGTTGCCCATTGGTTTCATCATCTTTTTCGTATTGAATGGTAACAGTATAGTTCTCGGTGATCGCTTAGCCCATCAACCAGTGGCTCATTTCATGCAGATTTGTTATTTTTTGATTTTTATCTGTTTCAGTTCAGCACCTTTATTAGCATTCTCTTCCAAAACTTATCGATGTCCTGGGTATATCATCCGTGAACCTCTAAAATTGTTGATTTCCTGTTTACTTTTCACCTGTTGTGTTTACTTTTTCACGTTGCAACACCCATATTTGTTGGCTGACAATCGTCACTTCACATTTTATATTTGGAGACGGTGGTTTTTACGTCATCCGTACTGTAAATATGTCACTATAATTTTTTATATCATAGCACTTCAGTTATTTATTCAAATGATGGAGCATATTCCAAGAGCACTTACTTTGCTGTATATTTTGGGAACAGCGGCAGTACTGGTACCTGCATATCTAGTGGAGCCAAGATATTTTATCATACCTTACATTTTCTGGCGTCTTAGCTATCCAGAAAGACGAATTCCTGTAATTATTCTAGAATTAATTTATGAGTCCCTTGTAAATGCTATTATTTTGTATATGTTTCTGTATAGGCCTTTCGAATGGTTACATGAACCAGGCGTTAAACAGAGATTCATGTGGTAGGAATTACATTAATCGTCACTTTTTTCTTTTCAGTACAACCGGAAATGTAGCTTCTCTCCAAGATGACTCCATTGCTTTTGCTTTGAGCTATAATGAAGTATAAACGTAAAAGAATTTAACATGCGTTATTGAAGATGAAAGTCAAGCGATTAAAATTCTCTTATTATAAGGGAGAGCGCAGAGAGGATCCCTTCACGAAGTTTTTATGTTTAAGCTTATTAAAACAACTCGAGATCACGGGATCATTCTTTCTTTATCGTTATATTCGTTTCATAACGAGGTTTGAACTTTTTACTTACGGTTTGAACTTTTTATTGGACTTTTCAAGTGAATTATTAAAACAGTTTCCGAACACTTTCAAAGTATTATTTAACACACAATGTACGCTTACGATAACACTTCTCTAATGTCGTAAACCTCTAAATTGAAAAATTCATTTCAACTTCTTTAGACGATGTATATATCAGTGTAATAACCTAACATATGTAAAAATAACTGAGCATATTGTCAATTTACGGTTTTCAATTAATTGTATCATTTCATATTCTTGTATTGTCGTAAGTCCGAGCTAAAACAAGTTCAATAAATTATCGATTATGCGCGATAGTTACAATACATACAGCTTTGTGCATGTGCATCGCTTTTGAAAATTCATTAATAAACAAAAACAACAACTGATATGATAGAGAAATAGAAGTGAGCAGCAGTGTGATCGAAATAAATTATAAAATTCAAAGTAAGCTCAAATTGGACCAGCCTGAGAATAAAAGTAAGCAAACTGTTACATATGTCATAATTGGTTCATAATAAATTAATTTTATACTATTGGATTATTGAACAGATTATTTCATGCATATTCAATTATTTGAGTTGGATTCCAAATTCAATTTTAATTTTGATAAAAACCTAAATCTGAGCAAGTGTCAAGAATATACAGATAACTGATCAACCAGAGAATCTAGCGATGCTAAACTTGCCGCCTTTGAACCGACACACATAATATACTGTTTTTCCGGGAGTGATTCAGCACAGTGTATGGTGTGGTAAATGTGAACAAGACCTGGATCCGGTGCACGCATTATGTGTAGTGGTGAGTGAACACATTTCTCGAAAAAATCCACATCTTCCATGCCCCATCCCTGAAAATTGAAATTTTGTTACCTACATGATATTTCATTTAAATTTAATATGAATTTTTCTTTCAAAAAAAATTTAATAGAATTAACGGACATGAATAATTTCAACTTTTCGCTGAAAATAGTAATACCTCACCTGTATATTCAAGTTCATGCCTCCAATGAGATCTAAATCGGATTTGTAAATGGACACCAATCCAAATCCGAAATGTCGAAAATAACCTCTTTTTCGACCATAATGAAATGCGTCAGAAAGTAGTCGATCACTATCCGACCATGTTTCTGGTGAATATTCGCTAAATACTATCGGAAAATATACCTGTAATTTCTCTACTTTCATTTTCAGAACTGTAATTCTTGAATTTCCACCAGAATATTTAAAAAAAAAAGAATGCCATTTAAAAATTGATAGATGAAGTATATATTAGTATATTAATATATTAATGAAGTATATATTAGTATAATAATATATATAAGTATATATTAGACTAATTTACCTGAGCACCACGTACAGTATTGCGTATAACCCGATCAAGAGTATCACAAGTAAAAAGAATGTCAACATCAATAAAAAACATTAGAGCATCCGGTCCCAAAATATCAGCACCGCGGGAAAGTGCAACACCACGATTGAATGGTTGTGAACCCATATTGACAACCTAGAAAGCTATATAATCATCATAGCAGTAGAAATAAAAAATAAATGATTATCCCAAGTAGTATTTTTTTTTCTCACTGTTGTGACGATAACAAAATATTTTTAGTCCAAAGTCCGATCCTCATCGTTTGAATTCCATATTTTAAAAAACCCAACAACTACTGTAGTAATATCCTCTCATATATTAGGCATATCAAATATCAATTATGCCAAATATTTCGAATAAAATATCTAATGTTAAAATAAGTTCTTAAAAGATTTTCAGGGACATTTTCAAGATGAGAAAGACAAATTGCTCAGAAAGACAAAGACAAATTATTAGATTCCTATTAGGTCATCTGCCAGGTAATAAACTATTGTAACGTAAACTCATCAACTTCTAATTAATATTACTCAAAAGAGAGTATAAGACAAACCATAATATCAATTTCCAATTTAAGTTCATCGATTAATGTTGCAATTGCTGCATCGATATCGGGTACCGAATCATAAATTACCAAAACAAGTGAAAATATTCGTCTGTTGAGACATACCATTCTCAGATTATTTGCAAATCTATAGAAGAATTAAAGTATGATAATAATTATTATTATTACACGATCAATCATCAATAATTTATTAATTCTTTATTGTACCTTTGCGCTAATTCACATTTCATTATTACAAAGGCATAGTCCATTTCATAAATCCAATAATTTTTCTAATTTAATTAGATTTTGGAACAGCACGCTATATTCTAATGGAGGTTGCAGAAAGATTTGCAAATCTTTTCAAGTCGAAATAGTCTCTGAAAGGATCTTTTAAGAAGGATTTCTGATGTAACCCGCAAGAAATTTAAAAATCAAAAGTGCTAAATTATATTTTTGATTTACTAATAAAAGAAAACCTCTTAAAAGAATCGGCTCTTCCAGCAAGTGGCAATATCATGTGTACGTGAAATTTTTCTGGTGGTAATTTCATTTTTTTCCAATTGAAATCGTTTGATTCATTTGATTGCTTCCATAGACCGATACTTTTAGTGATACGTTGTCGTAAAGTATCTCGAAAAAAACTATCTGATATAATTTCCAACGATCCAAATGTTTGCTGAATGTATGCATGACGACGAACAGAAAGTGTTGGCCTATAAAAAGATAATAATACTATATGAGTAGTAATATATCATTTATTCTAATATATAACAGGATATCTCGATATTCTGAAATTTCTCTAATATCATATAAATAAATAAAAAATATTGATCATTTGAAATTTACCATTAATTTTTAACTATCGGAAAAAGTAAGGAAAGAACCTATGAGGTGGACGTATCTTCTTAAACCACAATACCATATCAAGAACATAATCAACACCATAACGTGGTTCAACTCTCATATAACCGTATTGAATGTTTTGAAATCGTAATATACGACCCCGCTGTCGAGCATTTGCATTAAATTCATCGAAAAGCTATAAAATATTTCAAATTACTATATGAGGAATGGATGCAGTTATGAAGTTTGAAGTTGAAAAAGTTTATGAAATATACATTTATCGATAGATTGATGTCTATGTAAATTATATCAATTAATAAATGATGTCAAAGATATTGATAGAAGGTAAAACTGATAGTGATGGTAATGATGATAATCAGACAAAGATAGCGATTATAATAACCTGTGTAATAATTTCACTGAGTGCCATTCGTATACTTAAATCAAGCGTATGCCTTGGACAATTCACTTGGCCAGCACAAAATAAAATATTATTTGATGAAATAAAATCCCAATGGAAAAGATCACGGGTTGAATTTGAAATATGACGTGTAAGTGATGGTGCTTTCCGATTCGGTAATTCATTTAATAATGTAACACGTGTAGAACGTAACGTAGCGAGCCGAAGGATACGATTGTGAACATGAATTCGACGCATTATTGATTGTTGTTTGACTGGATGCAACGTGATAGCATGACGTAACTCAGTTAAACTACCTTGATAAGCATTTGGCACTGTTTGGTTATTATGAAATAATGTTTGCATTTCATAATTCCACGTACATGTGACACCAACATGCTTACGTATACATCTAAATAATATAAAATTGGTCACGTAATACATTCCAGTATGATTTCAATAAGTAAGCCGTACGTCTTTTTGATCGATTTTTAATCGAACAACTTTTGCAAGAAAAAAAAACGTAAGCTAAAATAATAGAAATGAGATATTTCTGTTACTATATAGAACTGATCAATCTGCTAATAATTAGTATTTTTGTTAACAGATTATGATAGTACCATACAAAGGAGTAAATAGCACATACCTTCCAAGTTCGACATCCTCATGCGTAGTGAACATTTCCATCAAGCATGAACGTAAATGTGGAGCAACAAGGCGTAAGGTCATCCGAGACATCACAACACCCGGTCCACCCATACAGTAATTATCCTCTTGACCAAGAGCTAGCTGCCCATATTCGGCTGTATTACCCAATCCAGCTTGACCAATTAAGTGCGCTTTATCCGAGTCCAGAGATCTGATAGATAAGGATTTCAAAAGGATAACCTCAAAGTTATTCTCTTCTTCATTTCTATGTGTTCATTCATTCCATTTATCATAGATGATTAGTCGATAAAAAGTTTGTAAATTTTGTAAATTCTTTAAAATTAGAAATTGATCTTTCAAATAATCTTAAAAATAGAAATCCTCCATCTTTGGTCATGAAAAAGCTATTAGAAAGATAAACCTTAGCAATGCCTCCAACTGTTCTCCTCGCACATACAAATCATCATCTGCTCGCATAAACCAATCAAAATCATCCAACTAGAATTTCTTCCACAAATTAATTCAAAATCAAACGTTCTCTTAAGGATTTAAAAGAAGATTTAACAAAACGTTTTAAGAAATTAATGATTAAATATCTTTCAATAAAATTGCAGCAAATCCTTCAACTCTTTTATTTTCAACATTAAATGAAAGTTAATTTTATTCTCGACAGTATTTTATGGCAATCAACAAATCATATTCTGTTCCGATCACGGGAAAAAAGCTAACATTGACTTGCACATAACTTTCTTTTCAATGCTCATTGATTGCTGATTTAATTAATTATTTGTTTGATCATTTCATGTTTAATGACTTTTTGAGGCACAATTAAAATTTGAAATAAATTAGAACAAAAAATTTCTGGTTGAAAGAATTAAGAGTTTATCACCGGAAATTTTCTCCTTTTTGCCAAATAAAAATTGTTATTTCTTTATGGTTCATTTTGTACACGAGAGAAAATGACTATTCTTCCGTCCCATTTTTATGGATCTTTCTTATCTACATGGCAATCTAAGCGGTCCTTTTCATCACTATGTCAATTTATTTTACGAAATTTAAAAAAAAAAGAAAAAAGAAAGAAAATGAAATTTCTTTATTGCGGTAGTAAAATTAGATCGAAATTGAGATTGCGTATCGTGGGAAAGGATTAATTCGATAAATACTAATCCGTCCGCCCATTTATGTCCTTTCCTTTCTTACTGTTATACATTATCAAAAATTCAAGAATTACCAATTTTTCTAATTTATGAATTACACCTAATAAATTCAGAGCATAAACAAGGATTTAGTTATTTTTATTTAAATTAAATTTATCATTTAACTTCTGCATTTTAATAAGTTTATATTTTATTTAAAAATTAAACAAGCATAAATTAATAAACAAACGTGATGATCGGCCATCCATTTTAACATAGCAAATGATTTTTTCTGCGGTGGATATATATCAGTGACACCTTTCAAACGAATTACTGGCATATCGATATGACTGGTTATTGTCCCCTCGGCTACGAAAAATAGCAACTAAATTTTAAAATGATATTCAGAAAGTTTTATAAAATTTTTACAATAATTTTTTTTGTTAAATTCAAAAAGTTTTTGAAATTTTCAAAAATTAAACCTTTCCTGGGATACGTTGTGCCCATGTTTTCCAAACTTCATATGCTCTTGTATCCACATATTTTGCTGCTGTCATCACACCAACAAGAAGTAATTGAGGTTCTTTCTTCTATAATCATATCTTTAATTATAAATCATTATAATACATCACATTCAATAACTATATTTAAAATGATAATGAGTTAATCACATGATTTCTTATCTTACAAAATGCAAAAGATTGTTTACTGAAAATTATATCTTCCTCGAAAGTGTAAATTTGTGAAAAAAAATTTATATTATTTTAATTTTTCTAATTTTGACTGCAGTTACATCAAATGCTATTCTTGATTGTATTATCCAATCATTTAAAATAAATGTTTGACATTTGAGTAAAACGAAGTTAAGTCTCGTAATGACAGTATTATCTAAGCTCAAATGGTCCTTTCATTCTAAATTTTGCATCAATTATCCCATTACAAAATAAATCATTTCTTTCTTAATTGAATAAGCAGAAAAAAAAATAAAAATAAAACAGTTAATTTGAATAGGCAAAAAATTCAAAAAAAAGATAAAGATAAAACTATTGGCTCAAAAAATCATTTTTTTTAGTTTTTTTTTTTTTTTAAATACAATATATAGTTAAAAAATTTTAATCCATTTAGAATAAGCAATATTTCAAATTCCTGAAAAAGTATTAAAGAATAAAATTGGTAGTAATTTCTCTGAAATTAACAAAAATTTTTTAAATTTTAATAAAAGCAATAATACGTACTTGCATTAGAAGTTTACTGCAAATATCATATGGAAGACGTCGTACAGCTGTGAAGATCAATGTTGCAGATATACCAACGATCATACCGAGTAACGTTGGAAAGATGGATCGCGTCATACGTCTCAATCGTCCCTTCCCTTTACGCCATGTTAATGTCATTGCCGTAAGCAGGATAATAGCAACACGTTGAATCTAACAAAACCTGAAGTTCATTAAGTCTTATTGAATTATATTGAAATTTCTAAGTTAATTAAATTGGAATAGTAATTAAATTGAAATATTTAAATTTGACACAAAGATAATCTGAACTAAGTTTGAAATCATTTAGAATCAAATGATTATTTCAAATTATGCTAATTATATTTCTTTTGATTAAAAATTCTATATTATTGCGTAAAATGCTGCCCCTACTACTACCCTATCATACCGTGAATATTTCACTTAATATTATCATTATTGGTAATGATTTGTGAAATATGTACTGAATTAACGATTTACTCCATGAATTAGTGATAAAAAATCAATTTATTGATAAAATGTTTTCTTTTACGAAAGAAAAAGTACGATTTGTTATAAAGAACAAGGGGATTCTGAACGAAAGCTTATTTTGCAAAAGAATATTTCAAATTAAGGTTAAAATAAAGTGTGCTCGTAGTTAATTTTTACGACATTATAGTATTTATTTTCATTTTTTTGGGACCAAATTTTAGATTTTCTTATTTTCATAATGAAAAAAATATGTAAATATATCTTTGATAAAATTTTTTTTTTTTTTTTAAATTTCACGTATAAACTTGAAGCACAGTTTGCAATTCATCTATGATTTGGAATCATAAAATCATTTCATTACTGTAAATAAAATTCAAAAATTAAAGTTTGGTTGAAATATAAGTAATAGTAATATTAAAATACAAATGGCTTAAAAATGAATAAAAGTAGATAAATAAATTAATGATTATTAAAACAATTAATTTAAACAACCGATTAACAATAAAGTAACAATTTAAAAACTTTAAATACTAACCAATCATTCGGTGTGATCAGCAAACACTCATTCATTCATTCGTTCGTTGATATTTTGTTCGAAATGGTTCAATAGCACATCAGAAGCCATCTTCATCAAATCACCACCTTCGTCATTGACACCAACGATTCCATCTGAGCTATTCATTCAGGTTATCTGTAAACGTGTCATATTTCAACTCTGTAAACACAACCATCAATATACATATATATCCAACCTTATTCTATACCAATCATTCATTTATCGCTCAACTTATGCACAGGTAAATGTACATATAGACACATGCATATATATATATATATATATATATATATAT